ATTTCCTGCTGGGAAGAAATGTCAAAGAAAAGTTCAAAAAGAAACTGTTGTATGTTCCTTGGCATCCCATATGTTTGCTAGTTGGATCCCTGGAAGGGTCTTGTCCAATTAAAGCTGCATGAACAATATGAAACAAGAGAGTCAATCTTAGAAAAACTATTTTGAGATTTTCATAAAACCTATGTTCTTTGAAGGCCGATGATATTCCAGCCCTTATCCCTAATAACATCATCCAAGAGAAATTCTGGGAGCATGAAAAGGCCTGTTGAAAACTCTGGCAAAGAAAGCTACAATTCAGAAGAGAGCAACATCTTACCTATTTGATTTGTTTACAAAGTCTAGCTCCACCACATTGGGAATAAACTTTCCACTCAACGGCTCAAGAAAATAATCTCTATGTTATTGTCCCAGCCAAGAAGATGAAGGACTCAGCAAGAGTGTCATTGAGGATCTGTAAGTGAATTCAAATATGAACATCTTGCAAGAAATGAAAGGAAAAAAACCTCAAAATTGTGCAAAGAGATTGATATGAGTGATGATCTCATAAGCTTATACAACATTCTCAAGAATAGAGGAAAGTGAAACTTAATAGGTAAAATATATCTAGATGCTGGATTCCAGCCAAACAATTGCCTGAATCCCCTATTATGAAGGCTAGAAGAAATCAGCATGGAAGAGGAAGGCAATGGGTACTCTTTGAGTGCTTGTGTCCCAAAAAACAAAAAGCCTAAAACATGTGATATCCAATGTAAATTTTTTTTCCATGTGTCACTATCCATACCATCCTTTTTTTAGTTTTGAATCTAGATTAGAATATATTGCCCTCGCTCTTTTAAATATACTAGCAGGGATCCCAGCTCCGCTGGGAAAAATAGAAAATGTTTTCAATCTGAAAAAATTGTAATGTTAGCAGCCTTGTTGGTTGTGCTATCTACTGCCTCCCTGCTTATGTAAAAGATCTTAAAATGATCATGCATTGAGACAATAAAGATCATGACAGAATATGAGACACACTTGTTCTTAGCCATGCTATGAGTTTAAAAACATTCTTGATGTTCGTGTGTCGAGCGTGAAGAACACAACCAGCATGCCTTAATTCCATGGAACTTTCAGTTTGGTAGGAGATATTGAACAAGGAGAACTCTGACTCAAGAAACTTTGCCATGCTTAGCAGGGGATGAGCAATTCTCACAGTCTACTTGGATGCATAACTCCATGTTTTTATTCTAGAAAATTTGGTTTTGTTATAACAGGTAGTTTTGTTCATATTAGGCTTCTGAGTTTGTGTTGAAGAATGGAGTGCACAGTGGATGGGCTGAAAAAGGTCAGAGACAACCTAGTAGAGGGAATTGTTCTGAGGATTACAAAATTGGATTCCAAACCTGGTGC